CCCTTGCTCCCCAACTTGGCTCCCAGGCTGCTGGAGGAAACATGTTCTTCCTGAAGCAGAGGCCATGCAGGGTCAGCCCAAGCTGTGCTGGCCCCGTCCAAACCCCTGGCCCGGGCCTCTCTCCTGCCTTCCAAACAGCCTTCAGCACGCTCCCTCAGCTGCTAGAATGCCTGGCAGCACTGTTCCCTTTTGGAAGTTGTTTTTCCTTTTCGTCTATAGGCCCAGGGTCCAGGTGGCTGGACAAGGGGGAAGAGCTGGCTTGGATCCGATGCACCTAGCGGGTGCTGCTTGGCCTGGCCGCGGACCAGTCACACCCTGCCCCCTGACCTGTTTCTTCCTTAATGGAGGCGTGCTGGGGCCTGGAGTGGTTACCGCTCAGCACAGTGCCGGCCTCCCTGTCTCTCGTGTGGGGGCAGTGCCCTGGGCCACCTCATCAGCACCCACGTCGGAGGGGGGCAGAAATGGGGAGGCAGGCTCGTGGGGAGGGGTCATGGGCTGCCCGGCTCGTCACTGTGGGCCAGGTGCCCGCTCGGTGCTGGGCAGGCCGGGTTCTGAGGAAGACGGCCTGCGAGCAGGCCCGGCTTATTCCTCCTCCAGTGGCGCCAGAGCCCGGCCGCCCTGGGCCTCCTCACGGGGCCCCAGAACTCCCTGGAAGGCTGCCTCCCTCTGGGGCCTGCGTCAGGGCTTACGGGGCACGAGCATGGCCGCCAGCACACTCGGGTGTCAGAGATCTGTTCTCTTCTCCCAGCGACCTTGGAGGGGGACACGTGTGTCGGCGTCTGCAGGAGAGAGCACTGAGGCTGCAGGAGAGCTTGGTCTTCCCGGGCCCTGCGCTGGGGGAGGAAGGTGCTACCTTGGGAACTTGTTTCTTAGGCCTGAAAGGGTGGATGAGGCTGAACATCGTGGTCCCAGGACCCAGGGAGTTGTCCGTCCTGGCGGCTTCAAGTGCCCATTCTCAGCCTCATCCCTGGGCCAAGCAGCTCCTTGGCCCCCCGGTGGCTCCCTTCGCTGGCTTCATCCTCTGGAGAGCCCCCAGGCATCCTCTGCAGGTTGGGTAACTCACCCTCCTGGCTCCTGGTGGTTCAAGGAGCCCCGCTCAGGTGCTGCGTCCTCCTCCGCCTGAGCTTCTCCCAGCTTCGCACTCTGCCCATCCAGGTTCTGGCCTCTGGGCCATCGTCCTGCTGCCGGGTCTCAGGTGCTCTTGCCAGCACCAGCCCATTATCCTAACAGCAGCCTTGTCCGGAGGAGGAAACTGAGGTTCAGAGAAGCTGGAAGAGGTGAATCAGGATGGAAACCTGACGCCGTCTCTGCTTTCGGCCCTTCCCCCGAGCTGGGGCTCACCGCCGCCTGCCCCTCTCTCCTCGGTGCCTCTGCTCCAATTGGAATTAGAATAGTCGCTTCAGAACTTGGACAGCCCCCAAGTCTCATCACAGGAGCCGCCCAGAGAGACACACATGTAACAACATAACTACCTGAGCTGCAGCGCAGTCCCCACGCAAAGGCCGGGGACAGAGGACACTCACCTCCCACCTGGCGTGGAAGGAAGTGAGGGCCCGGGCGCCCTGTGCGGCAGTGACTGCACTTCGGGAACTCGCCCTGCACGACGGAAGGCCTGTAAATGGAGCAGGTTATTCGTGCCTTCAGTGGGAGTCCCACTTAGAGGCGTTACTGTAACGGCTGGCCGTGGTTCCACATTGCTCTCCAGGGCGGCCGCTGAGCAGACCCCATCTGCACTGCCTTTGGTTTGATGCCACAGTGAAAGCCTCCAGGTGGTCTCAGAAGGCTTCTCCTTGTGGGGCGTGCAGGTGCCTGAGCTCTGAGGCCTCTGCTCTGGCTGGAAGAGTCACGTGGAGAAGAGCTCCACCATCGGGGCGCACACGTTCCAGAGATGGAGGGGGCCGGACCACGCCATGTCGCACAGCCCTCTGCCTCTGACGCCTGGGACAGAGGTCACGTCTGGTCCTCCTGGAGCTCTCAGAGGCGTGAGCCTCACTGCGTCCAGCGGGAAGGCCCCGTCCCTCTGACCAGGTGTTGTGAAGGGGGTTCCTGCCGAGACATCAGCTGGGGCTCTCATCGCCCCTCCTTCTGGAGGGGTGTGCTCTGGGGGAGCCGAAATGCACTGAGACCAGCTCCTGCCTTTCAGGACCCCCTCCAAGTGGGGGCAGCTGGTGCCAACAGGCGGCCGCTGTTCCGAGAGCCCCACACACAGGCCCGCCGGCCCCCTCCCAGGGCAGCCCTTGGCGCAGGCAGCGCCTGAGTGTGTGGTCAGTGTCAGGACGGCTGCCCCGCCCCCGCCGCCCCAGGTCTTGAGTGAGGTGTGGCTGGGGGCCTGGGGAGGGGCCTCGAGCCCAGCAGTGTGGCTGCAGAGCCAGGCTCTGGCCCGATGCATGAGCAGGGGCCTCCCCCAGGAGGAAGCTGAGGCTGCCAGGACCAAGCACTTCAGCTCTCTTGCCTCTAAAGGACACTTCCCCCCGGGGGCCACTGCCACCTGGGGGGACAGCTACCTGCGGGAACACTCCTGTCTGGGGTGACACTCCTATCCAGGGGGACACTCCTGCCTGGGAGGACACTGCCGGCATTGACCACTGGGGCCTCATGAGGTGGTCGGTCTTCCAGGCAGGTCATGGGCTCTGGGGCAGCTGGTGTCCCAGTCCGACCTGGCAAAGGCCGGGCCCACCGTCCTGCCCCGCAGGCCCCAGAGCATCCGGCTGTGTCACCTGCTGCTCCTGCCTCATTCTGGCTCCTTCCAAACAGTCGGGTGGGACTTTGCCAGGGCCGAAGCTTCCACTGTGCACCCCCCTCCGGCGAGGGCACCCCGCTCAGATCTGGTCCCTGAGCTCAGCTCTGACCTCTCCTCAGTGGTCGTGGACACCCCTTGCAGATGAGGGTGCTGTGAGGCCTCCCTGGGACCCGCTGGTGCCTCGGTCAGCATGAGCAGGGGTCTTGGCGGGGTGGGGACTGGCGGGGCCAAGGGGCTGGGGATCGGGGGCTCGGAGGGCCACTCCTCCCAGCGACAGGCATTCTTAGCAACGAGGCTGAGCCCAGGACAGGCCTTTTATTATTTTCTTATTGAGGTGCAGTCAGTTCACAGTGTTGTGTCAGTTTCTGCCATACATGAATATACATTTATTCAGCCATACGTGAATATACATTTATCTACTTTCATATTCTTTTTCACCATAAGCTACTAAAAGATATTGAATACATTTTCCTGTGCTGTACAGTATAAACTTATTTATCTATTTTATATATACCTGTCAGTATCTGCAAATCTTGAACTCCCAGTTTATCCCTTCCCACCCCTCCCCGCAGCCTACAAGTCTGTCGTTCTATGCCTGTCGAGTCTGTTCTGTTTTATATTTAAGTTCATTTTCGTCCTTGAGTACTGTCCAAGGTCC